TAATTAATCTTTTTTTTAAATAAGAAAAAACGTTTAATCAAAGCAATAATTTCAAATTTGCCATAAAAACAGTTAATTAACAAAGAAAATCCATCAATAATTGTTGCTGTAATATGATTATTATTAATGTTATTTTATTGTTGAATTGAAATATGAAATATTTACATTATTTTAAATTATTTTCTTTCGTCTTTAGATTAATTAAATTTGTGATATATTAATGTTAGTTTCCTTACATTTAAGTTTTGAAATATTTCAATATTTTTTTTTTTCAATATAGGTTATTGGATTGGGGTAGTAGTTGAGCGATGTGCGTTTTCTTTGATGGTTTTGATCTTCGGCAACGAGTTGAACTATAATTTATAGACTCGAGGAGTGAATTTCCAGTAGTAAATTTGTTTCAGCACAATCCCGGCCCGTTCGAGCGTGATTCGAGACGCGGAAGGGTCGATTTATAAATTCCTAAAATTCGATTGAAACGGAACGAAACCCGAGGATAGTTTTGCTTGCATGTGTATGTATTAGAGTGTATGCGAAAGGGAAGTTTCTGTAAAGCAGTTGCTGCAACAGTTAATTCCGACGAAGAACAAAGAAGAAGGTAATAACGGATGGGGCGGAGAAGGTTTCTGCGAAGGCGACCAACTGACTATATATATATATGTAGATAGAGAGAGATAGAGAGAGAGATGTACGTATGCAGTAGAGGAGGATGAGGAAGGACGAATGCCGCAGATGCTTACTTTGCATACAAACAATTAAATCCGTTCCGACAATTATGAGCGCGTCTGCATTCCCTCGGTCCGCGGGTATTGCGGCCGCATTCCGGAACTGTATAATATCCCTTCCCCTGCGCTCCCTTCAACACCACTATCCCCCAGACGGATAGGGACATTACATGTTAAAGGGGTGGCCTACCTCATCCCATGATCGCAGTCGGCGCCCTCCCGCGGACATATGTCCGCACTTGGCCCCGCACCAACCGATAAAAATACAACCACCCCCCGTTTCTCCACCCCTGTCCCACCTCTTTACACGGAAGGAAGGGGTTGAGAAGAGAGTGCGGGGTCTCTTAATCATCGTTAACGGGGTGCCGGACATATGCAAATTACTTATTATTACAACTTCCTCCGCGGGGTTTAGAATAAATTTCACTAAATTACGTGTTCCATGGAAATCCAATTTCGACGAAGACCTCGACTTATTTCCACCACCAACTTACTTATTCAATAAAACGCAAATATTTATAATTACAATCAACTTATAGTAAATTAATGTGTTTCAATTGAAGACAATTTTATTTAGGTTTTCCTAAATCTACTACAAAAGTAAAATTTTCAATATATAAAATAATGCTGCAATTACAATTGCTATACGTATTTACAAATATATTTAATGTGCTTTAAAACTGATTTATTTATTATAAATTAAATTTTCATAGGTTTCCATTAACTGTTTTTAAAAATGAATACGTATCACAGTTATTATACGAATAATAAATAATTTGCATCGATCTAAATATATATTTATATTTATATATATTTGTGTGTGAGAGGAAACGAATGATAATAAAATTAATGCGAATGTTTTGCAACGTTTTCGATGATTAATGGATGTTAAATGGTGGCGAAAGAAAATGCGATTACGCCGCTCGCGTTTATTTCATTACCATTCGAAATAGAAAATCGAGAGAAAAATCAAATAATAATAATATTATTAACGGTCCATTTTCGGTGGTTCGAAGTGGGAATGGGGGGTATTTATATGGGATTATTACAAAATTATTTAATATTAACTGTGTGGATGCGCCGGGTTACATAGAATCGATTCGCACTCAATATCCGACCCATCTATATTTATAACAGTTTAATTTAATCGAAAAATCGTATATTTTTTTACTTCTATTGATTTGTTCCAAAATAAATAAAAGTAAAAACTATGTTTTGTTGAATTTTCTTCACATTTAATTTCATTTTGATAAATTTCCATTCCAATTCCATTCTAATTGTTGATTGGGGGTAAATGTTGTTGTTGTTCGAAAAATCGTATATTCTTTTACTTCTATTGATTTGCTCCAAAATAAATAAGAGTAAAAACTATGTTTTGTTGAATTTTCTTCACATTTAATTTCATTTTGATAAATTTCCATTCCAATTCCATTCTAATTATAGATTGGGGGTAAATGTTGTTGTTGTTTTATTTAATTGTTTGTTGTTTTTATATAAAATATATGACAAGGCTCGAGTATATTATGCGTTGAAAATTGTACCGAAAAATCGTATATTCTTTTACTTCTATTGATTTGTTCCAAAATAAATAAAAGTAAAAACTATGTTTTGTTGAATTTTCTTCACATTTTATTTCATTTTGATAAATTTCCATTCCAATTCCATTCTAATTATTGATTGGGTAAATGTTGTTGTTGTTTTTATATAAAATATATGACAAGGCTCGAGTGTATTATGCGTTGAAAGTTGTACCGAAAAATCGTATATTCTTTTACTTCTATTGATTTGTTCCAAAATAAATAAAAGTAAAAACTGTGTTTTGTTGAATTTTCTTCACATTTAATTTCATTTTGATAAATTTCCATTCCAATTCCATTCTAATTATAGATTGGGGGTAAATGTTGTTGTTGTTTTTTTTTAATTGTTTGTTGTTTTTATATAAAATATATGACAAGGCTCGAGTATATTGTGCGTTGAAAGTTGTACCGAAGTTGTGGAACTTCATTGAAGTTCGTTTATTTGGCGCAGTGTAAGTGCGATAATTTAGAAATAAAGTTCAGGAAATACGATACGCCTGTTCGTTGTTGGTCCCTTGTTTCCCTTCTTTTTACGATGTCATCATCATCATTATTATTATTATTTTCGGCTCTCTCTCTCTCTCTCTTAGTGTGTGTATGTATGTATGTACGTGCAGTTTTCCGAAGTTGTTCTTCGGGAAAAGTTTCTCATGCTGGAGACACCAGTTGATGTCGTGCAGAAGAGAATGAAGGGGTGGAAAGGGAAGCGCGCGTGACATCAAACAAAACTTGACCAAAATCATCAACCCATCTTCCTCTATCTATCTCGCTCTCTCATACTAGTACACTCCGCCCCTTCAGTTTAGCACTGTTTGATCATTAATTTCCTGCATATTAATAAACCCCGAAAGTTGAAAACTTTTGGAACTGGCGATGCGCGAAATCGCGTGACGTCGGCCCTTTTTGATCGCGCCCAGCCGAATCTTAATTGTTTTCACCAACCTAACCTCCCTTCCTGTCTTCATGCATGCATGCAGTACGTGTGTATCTTTCGGCTTGAATTTCTTTTTCGCGAGAATATTCCCGATGTTTGACTATCTAAGCGAGTTTAATATTTGTATTGAAAATTGATCTCGGGCTTTCAAACTTTCCATGACTGAATGGATCCATCTCTTCTGGCCTCGCTTTCTCTCCGTTATACTCAGGATGAAGGTTGGGATGGTTGAGGCGGTCGCATGGATGAATATGTTAAAGGGACTTTAAATGTTTTCTTAAGTATCGATTCGATGGTAATATTCGTGGGCCATTTCCATACGGCCCTTCTCGTTTACAACCCAAAACACCTTATGCATTGCATATTGAGCGCGCGAGAATGGAAAGGATGATATCCACATGCATATATACCTGGATCCTGGTCTCTCTTCTCCGTTCAGCGCACATCCCCAACCACCTCTCTCGCTCTGTTTATTGCCGGAACGTTTCCGCGCAAACAAATTGACTTTACATGCTTTTGGCCTCTTTAATTGGATCTTCTTTGATCATCCCGTGCCTCGCTCTATGCTCTGCGGCAGCTTCCTTCTGATGTATCCAATTTCGTATCATTAAAGTTTCTTATTTAGTAACCGCCAGTCAAGTAGTGGTAGTCTGCGGGACAGGAAAGTAACTACACGTTGGTTGCGAGTGAGAAAGAGTCGGAGCGAGAAGAAGACTTATGGTTGGCCGCAGTGGCGCAATGCTACAGCATTTGCCAAATGTGTTTTCCTTGTATTAAAACGGGTTTTCCGGGATGCAAATAAACGAAACTGGCAACAAGAATTCATCAACGTGTTCAAGGATCACGCCTACTAGGTTAAACCGTTTAAAAGAAGCGGAGGTGTTGAGACGTCCTTTTTAATAAAGGGTTGCTACAACCTCATCCTCCGTCATTTTCTTCTTATTCTTCGCCGCAGGAGGACCTCTTACATATTCATCAGATGCTGTTATCTGTCGGACAAGAGGCCTCGCAGGATGAGAGAGAGAGAGGCCTGGAGCCGACGATAAAGGAATATTTACTCTACTTATAGTCTGTAATTAAGCGCACCTATATTTGCATGGTTGATTAGATCTGCACTCTCGGATAGCCGTTCTCTGTTTGCCCGAAACTAATAACCACTTCGACCTTTCCACCAAAACCTTCCACCCTCTTCACACACACTCACACCTCACATTTCACACCTCACCCTCCCTTCCTCTCTCTCAACCCCATCCAACCCAATTTTCCACCTTTATTAATGATCCCATTTTAATCGCATAATCCATCAAATTTACACTAATTACTTTCTTCCTGCCTTCGCTCCTCGCTGATTACACGGCACAACAAACACTTAACTCGAAAAGCCCAGATTTAAATAATACTCGATAATGGTTTATAAACGCTTGACTCGCAACACATCAACCAAAAAAACTATTTACCAAACTTTACCTAATTGATTCACCATCAAATATAACTAAACTTTGTCAAGTTTTAGTACTTTTTTACATGATTTTATTCTTATTATCAATATTGAAAGGCATGTGTGGTTTTCAATGGAGGAATGAACATAATAAAAAGAGACATGAATATATATTCGCGAAATATGCAGGAATTGGCTGAGCTATTAGAGTTAATCGAACGTACGCGGACGCATACAAAGTACGGCAAATTACTTAGCATATTTCGAGAGGGTCTCGTCTTTGATGTAACATATAAAATTGACCTTTCCAATCTCTCTGCTTGCAGCTATTACGCCTCGACCGCTTTTCCCGTGGGTCCACCCAGGCTCGTGCCGCCCATCAAGAGACAACGCTTGATGACCGCCTCGCCGAGAAGCAACAAATCCAACAATCAGACCACCAAAAACAAAGAGATTCCACCCGTCGATCAGCTTAAAGTGTACAGTAAGTATATAACAAGTTTAAACAATACATTTATCACTCACCCTCATCTCTTCCTTCTTGTTTTAGTAATGTAGACTAAAAGGGAAAACCTCTTACTAAAAAATTACAAGTAAACAAGATTTGTTCTGATTGTATGTTTGTTTTATAGGTAATCCTGATATATTGATATGCGGCAACTGCAGGGAAATGTTCACCGATCTTCACGAGCTCCTGGACCACAAGAAGACCTACTGCAAGTTGCGGTTCACCTGCAAATGTGATACCTTCAGTAAAGCTAGTGAGTTTACTATACAGCCTATTTGAATATACATACCACCTGAGGCCCAAAATCCACCTCCAGACTTTTCAATGAACCCCTTCCTGTAACGCATAACTCTGTGCGAAGGGCATTAACACTAATCCCGCAGATTTCGTACTACCACTTGCAATTTTACCCTCCTAAAAACCACCCTAAAAACGAGAGAAAAAAAAGCACGTTGCAGAGACAGAAAAAAAGGAAGTAGAGGAGGAAGAGCATCGCCCAGAAAAGAAATATGTACACATTCGCATCATAATCCCCCCACGGGCATTTGCGAATTATTTTCAGCGTTGCTTCATAAAATTAGGAATTAGTTTCGTTCCTCCTCCTTCTCCTCCTCCTCCTCTTCATCCTCCGCCCGCTGCGGCCACTGAATTTCATTTAGTCCGCAGATGCAAATTAAATTGTATAAAAATAAAATAGAAGAAAATAAAAAAGAAAAAGAGGAAGCAAACGAAAATAGAAATAATTGTTTTGCATAAATTAAAGTATTAAAAAGTAATTTCCGTTTATTGTTCCAATTACTTTGGACCAATGACAATGTTGATGATGATTACTTCTTTCTGTTCTCTGTTTAACCCCCCCGCAGAATCGCCGATTGATGATAATTCGACGGCCTCTCTTCTGTGCGTTCAATGCAAGGATGCCTTCCAGAATGCTTGGGATTTGATGGTCCACGCTCAGGCTGCGCACATGCTTAACATCTACGAACTTGGGGTCCCATCCATGGAACACTGCGGATCTCCACCGATGTCTCCAAGGGATAACAGCACGCCAGATAAGGTCAGTCCAACATCCCCCAATATTACCGGTATTTAATCGAACTTCGTTTCCTCAACAATTTCCTTCATCACCCTCTCTCAAACGTTATTATCGGAGAGGACGAAGTGATAAACTCTCACAAGGAAATGTTACTTGTAATACCAATAAAATTGTATTTTGTAATACAAATAGTTTTAAATGCGATTACTAAATTTAAAGATAGAATATTTCATTATGATTTAGCTATTAAATATAGCGTTTTTAATATTCACCTAGAAAATGGGACATTCGATTACCTCGTAATTGCCAAAAAAAACAATAACCAGAGCAGTTAGCGCTGTAACCGGGAGTTAATCACTTCCCTGGCAATTTCCGGTATCAAAATTACATCATCGTTCGCGCAAACACGCTTCGATTGCTTTTCAAACACCACACCATTCGACAAATCTCTCTCGTCTTCTATAACCCAATAATTTTATTCAGCTAAAGTATTTACAAAATTGTCTAAACGGGCGTCGTTTTAATAGCGATCAAGTTCTTCGCCGCTTTGCCCGGATCCTGCTTGCTGCTGATCTGCTTGAAGAACACTTTCGGATATTTCGTCGTGTTGAAAAGCTTCTGATCGCTGTTGTAGATCTCGTTACCTCTCCTCTCGAAGACGGCCTCGTAGGTTCTCCACGGAGCAGAGCGAACATCGTTGTTGTTATTGTCATCCTTCCTCAACGCCTGCCTTAAATCAGTTGCGACATTCTGAATAAGCACGCGGGATTCCCTCGTCGAATTATCCTCGTTCTTATTGATGACCTCGTGGATCAACTCGTCGAGTATCATCTCCTCGGTATTCTCCTGTTGGAGCTTCTGCTTCTTCTCCGGGATGATCTTGATGATCAAATCGCAAATCTCCACTCGCCTATCGTAATACTCCTGACGCGACTTCCAAAATTGCTTCAGTTGCTCGTACTTTTCCTTCCATGTCTTCAACACTTCGATCTTCTCTTGCGATATTTTCTCGGCAATCTTAGCCTCAACGTTGCTGGTATTCTTCACCGGCCAATTCAAATTGCTTTCAGTTTGCGATGCCTTCACACTGGGGATGTTGCATGCGCTAGGTATGGGAACGACGTAACGCTCCGTTGAAGCATCCTTCTTCTTCTTGAGCTTCAGCAGCAGCAAATCAACGACAGCTCCAATCTCTTGATACTCAGCTGTAACAGGTTTATCCGCTTGGAAGTACTGAACTATGGCATCTTCCATCAAGAACAGCTTCTCCAATAAACTTTGGTATTTGGGTGATTGCACCAGGATATCGTTCACGTCGAGCTTGGTAATCAAGGACGAGAAATCCCTCTTCCGCGCGTGCAGATACGACAAGCAACAGAATAACTCCTGCTTGGTCGTGGCATCAGTAACACTCGACTCGTACTTGTGCGTCAAGTAATACTTGTCCAATTTCTTATCCTGTTTCGCCGTCTGCACATACAACTTCCTCGATTTAGAATTGAACGTCTTCAGCAACTCGCTTTTTCTAGCTTTGATGTCCTGCAACTCATGGAAGAAATCGATATAGTTTATCGTTGGTTTGATGGGAGCGCGTTTAGTTTCGAACGGAAGCTCCTTGAACAACTCCTTCTTATTCTCCACGCTGCTAGCCTGCTTCTTCTGAGTTGTCTTGACTATTTTCTTGCAGCGCTTGATTTGCGTCTTCTTGCTCTTCAAGCCCTTCAATTTAGCCTCTATATCTCTTCTGAGTTGTCCCGTGGCTCGAATCAACACCAAATCGTTGAGTATGTGCAAAGCCAAGTAAAAGTTCGCTTTTATAGTGCTGCTTTTACCATCCGATGAGGAGGCAAAGAACAAATTAGAGATCTTCTGCTTCATATCTTCGAAAAAACTTTTCTCGTGAACTTTCGGCTGTTGAGTTTTAATTTCTACCGGTTTCGCTTTATTCCAACTGCATTTTGGAACTTCTTTTGGAGGGGGTTGGAGAATCTTTGGTTGCGCGTGATTATGGCGGATTACCTTTAGAGCCTCTTGAGCCGTCTCCGAGGGTTTACTCAGATCGGGAGGTTTGTTTTCGATCACCACGTCCAGAGGCTTTACCTTTACTACTTCTTCGTTCGTAGCTTGAGGGTAATGGTTGCGATAGTAACGACGCGGCTCCACGCTGTTGAACGGCGTTGAAGTCTTCGGAAGCAGTACGCATGCGAAGGTTATGCCTGCTATAGAGAGGAAAGCTCCCATCACCTTGAAGATGGAAACTACATCGGACTTTTGTCTGCGCCGCTTCTTCCGGTTCCGCTTCTCCAGGTATTCCTCCCAGTGCTCCGCCCTCTCATCGTACCCGTAATCGTGGACGATCTGCCTATCCATCAAGTATTCCTCCAAGGTCTGGCAACCCTGCACCACCGGAGCCGATTCAATTACTTCCTCCTGCTCCGCAAGCTCTCCGTCCACTTCAGATTCTAGTACAGCTACGAAATCGGATTCAACTAAAACCTCTTTATCATCATCGTAACCCTCTTCCTCAGCATCCAACGGATCAACCTCCTCTTCATCTTCAATCACGATAACATCGTCATCCTCATCAGCGAGTAGAGTCCACGAGGAGTTCGAGCTTACGTCCGAGCCGCACGAGCTCACCTCCATCAGATTCAGCATTGCCGCTTATTTTCGATAATAACCGGGACCCAAATAATAATAAAATTAAAAAGGGGGGCAAACCCTGTTTGTTGATCTTCGAACCGCGAACGCGCCCAGGCCACCCCCTTTCAACGTTTTTTAATAATCCACTGTGGATTTTGCCCGAAACGAAACTTTCACGATACTCTCGGTTCTATCGCGCTCAACCTTGTTGACACTCCACACACATTTTCGCAATTTATTTGTTTCACAATTGTTTTGTTTTTTTTTCTCTCAGAACGTACGATTTTAACGACACAAAATTCATCCAAATATCTCCATGGCTTCTGTCAATAAGTATTTTGAAGTTTTGACAGTTTTATTTTATATAATCCAAATTATTTATATAGAGATAAAAAATAATAATAAGTTTTAATTAAATTAATATATTCGTAATTTTATATTATTAATATTAATTAGTTTTTTAATTACTGGTAACAAAAAAAAACACAAAAATATGACAACTTCAAATTACAAAATTCCACTAAGATTTTTAAAATATTAATTATTTGTTCATATTTTACCAAAGCAATGTTTAAAATAGGTAAAAATAATTTTAAAAAAATGTATTAGTAGTTTTATAATCTAAATTTTTACTACATTTAAGTTATTAGAAACACATAAAAAAAAATAACTAATGATGACAACTTCGTGGACGAAGTAATATGACAACTTCAAATTACAAAATTCCACTAAGATTTTTAAAATATTAATTATTTGTTCATATTTTACCAAAGCAATGTTTAAAATAGGTAAAATTAATTAAAAAAATGTATTAGAACTTTTAAATTTTAAATTTTTATTACATTTAAGTTATTAGAAACACACAAAAAAAAAAAACTAATGATGACAACTTTGTGGACAAAATTACAAAAACTTCAAATTACAAAATTCCACTAAGATTTTTATAATATTAATTATTTGTTCATATTTTACCAAAGCAATGTTTAAAATAGGTAAAAATAATTTTAAAAAATGTATTAGTAGTTTTATATTCAAAATTTTTATTACATTTAAGTTATTAGAAACACACAAAAAAAAATAACTAATGATGACAACTTCGTGTACGAATTGATAATATGACAACTTCAAATTACAAAATTACACTAAGATTTTTAAAATATTAATTTTTTCTTCATATTTTACCAAAGCAATGTTTAAAATAGATAAAAATAATTTTAAAAAATGTATTAGTAGTTTTATAATCTAAATTTTTATTACATTTAAGATATTAGAAACACACAAAACAAAATAACTAATGATGACAACTTCGTGGACGAAGTAATATGACAACTTCAAATTACAAAATTCCACTAAGATTTTTAAAATATTAATTTTTTGTTCATATTTTACCAAAGAAATGTTTAAAATAGGTAAAAATAATTTTAAAAAAATGTATTAGAACTTTTAAATTTTAAATTTTTATTACATTTAAGTTATTAGAAACACACAAAAACAAAATAACTAATGATGACAACTTCGTGGACGAATGATATATGACAACTTCAAATTACAAAATTACCACTAAGATTTTTAAAATATTAATTTTTTGTTCATATTTTACCAAAGAATGTTTAAAATAGGTAAAAATTAATTAAAAAAATGTATTAGAACTTTTAAATTTTAAATTTTTATTACATTTAAGTTATTAGAAACACACAAAAAAAATAACTAATGATGACAACTT